ACTTCTGGGTGAAAATTGATTTGGTAGTTAGATTGTCGGTAACGCGTACAACAAGCATTTGCCTTGTGTTTTGATTGGGGGGCCACAGTTTTATTGAAAACAGTCGGCATTGTGAATTCAATTCTGTGGCATCCATTGCAGACAAACCTGCAGATGAAGACTGCAGCATCAGCTTTTAATGACAAACTTTTCCACCTTTTCCAACAATCAAACTGGAAAAGAAAGGAAAATAAAAATGGGTTGAAATATTCTCAACAATGAACAAGAGCGTATTCATAAAACTAAGTTTAGAAAATACCCAACCATCCAATATAGAGGTAATAAGAAAGAACACATCCCAGATAATATTGACTATGGAACCAGACATTGTATAAAGAAAGTATATCCGAAAGTTTTATTTCATTCTAAACAAGAGTCTAAAAAAAAAGTGGTAAGCATCTAAAATCTATCAAAATGCTAAGGCTAATTTGATCTGAAAAAAAGGACCAAAAATTCATTAGATCATAAACATAATGAGAGTCCTGTGACACATAAATCATCTCCAAACGCCAACTACAGAAATTGTAATGCAATCAAGGTCAAACAGTTCCTTCCTGTAACATTAATATATTAGATCAACAGAAATAATTGCATTGAATTCCTTCCTCCAGAATTCCATTTTATCTGCAAAAAAAAAAAAAAACCTTTCCTTTTACACAACAGAAATACCAGACAGCTTCATAACTTACATTTTCATTATTTATTCATGAAGAGATGATATTATCCCTTTTCTTGCTACATTATTCACTTAAACTCAATTTCCTATCCCGCGAACTTACAATGAACCTAACCTTTCGGGTCCAGAAATTGCTACAGCGTATTAACATAGCAAAATACAAAAACGAATGCCTAGGTTTTTTCAGAATTATATTTTTGCTTAGGCCTGACTTTGAGTTAGATTTGGGCTGACAGATTGATTTGGATTCCATTATTTTATTTTTACTTACATTCTAGGATCGTGGGCTTGTGATGCTTGCCACCCTTTTGCTTTTTTGAAGTATGTTTGTTCTGTTAAATTCAAAAACCGACTTGTAAGACCTCTGAAATAGGTTTGTTGTAATACCCATTCGTGCTTGGATAATCGAAATCAGATGGTAGCAACTGCAATTTCTTTTGACACTTTTCTTCATATTTAATCTTACATTTATTCTTTGAGTGACCAGGAGGGAAGTTTGCCTGTGAGTGAAAGGCTCAATATTTGTTATTAAGCAGCAGGCCCATTGAAATCTCACATCTGGTCTAGGACGGCAATTGAAAGGAGACGAACGACTCCCTCTTTTTTCTTTTTCTTTTTTCCTCTCACAAGCAATGGTATGATACTGTAAAAAAATGCTCCCGTGTTATAGAAATACCTGGTTTGCTGTCAGAAAGGCCTTCTATCCTGGTAAGGCTAACCAGAGCACCGTGATGAACAAGGTTGCACGTTTATTCTACAATCTACACAACTCCACAACGAAATTCAAGTCAGCAGTGGTCTCTGCTTAGATCTGATGATTAATACAAATCAAAAAATTATAGGAGCCCGGTTCCAACGCAGCATGTAGGCTGTAGCTCATAGCAAAAGCCATAGATGAATCTAAATCTAATCCGAATGTCATGATCATAGATGCCGGTTGGCCTTTTCCACACTTGATTAACCTGATCAAGACACCTGATTTATGAAATCTAACCATTTATTCTCTCACCAATCAAGGGGAACCACCAAACAGGCAATCTCCCTCGATGGCTCCACAACCAAAGTAACCAAACAGGCAATCTCCCTCAATGGCTCCACGACCAGAGTTAACCAGAGCTTTTCTACATCCAACTCGTCTCTGTAAAAGATGGCTCAACAGAACCGTGAAAGCTAAGAGCAATCAGCCTATTGTAAGTCAATCACATGAAGTGCATGCTCATTGTCGATCGAATGGGGGCTTGGAGCAGCGAGTTTCACCAAGCTTGACTGGCGTTATAACTCTCGACATTGCTCTACTTATTTCTAGCATCTGCACATTATGAAGATCACAAGCATTCCAAACAAACAAGGAGCTACTAATTTGCCTACTCGTGTTGTCACGCAGTTGGAAGGATCAACGTTCCTTCCAGTACGAAAATAAATATTTTATATTGTTAATTATCCACGAAAGTGCTGATAGTCTTGTTTGATAAGGTCAACCGAGGCTGCAAAACTAAAAAGCTTGGTCCTGAAAAGGACAACAGTATAATCCTATATGTTTTAATTTTTTTTAAAAAAATAATATTTTATTATTATTTTTAAATTATTTTAATGTAACAACATCAAAAATAATTTTTTTAAAATTAAAAAAAAATCATTTCAATATATTTTCTAATAAAAAATATTTTAATAAATAATCACACTCACGTTCTTACAAACTCAAACAAAAAGTTCTTGCTCAAGTTACTAGAGGTTTGAAGATGACATTTTGAATAGCAAATATTATCCTGCAAACTCCTATTCATGACGATTTAGTCTTGATGACATTAATACCATGCAGGAAAGCTAGGCCACAACAATCATATGAAGCAGTTCTCAGCTAGTGGACCCATGATAAAGTCACATGCTCCCCGTTCCAAGTGACAAAACTAAACAGTGAGGCACTGAACATTCCCACCACACAAAAGAATCCCCCAATCTGCTCAATACAATTCAAAGATAGCTCCAGTTGCCAGAGCAATACCATTCATTAATACCAGGGAGTGTAATAAAACAACATCGTTGCAATAACTAACGAGACAGCAAAGGATGAACAGAGGCTCATTTTCTCAGAAAATATCGGGATTGAAAGAAATGGAATGTCAAACCTCTAGGCAAAAGAAAGCTCTGAAGTGCAAGAATGAAGACTTCTGATGACCTAACCATTTACAATCCCACCAGATGGCAGATTGGATTGGAACATCCCACCAGCAGTTTCTTTTTTCTTTCATTTCTCAAACTGGATTCACACTGAAGTGTGATATTTGGTGACTGATCCCCAGCCACTATCAGTCCGCCTGTATGGCTCCTTCACTTCACATAACTAAAGCTAATTAAAGCACGGGAAAAAAGGCAGAAAGGATTACCTAACGCAAGAATGATCCACGTATGAATAGGCATTGATACCTCCATATAACAGAAATCCAGCATTAACTGGACAATAAAACTGAGTCTTCACAAGCAATAATCAACATCAACGCAATAGATTATCCAAGTAATTACTCTATAGACATCAAACATCAAGTCCCTCACCTATGCTAAGCATGCACCCTAAACCCACATTCCCCAGGCAGATTTGTCCTCGCCCACATGTTTAACGCACTACCACCACTGAGGGCATACCCTCTATCAGTCACCATTGTAAATCAGCTATAACTAAAAACATCCATGTCAATAAAAGTTCATTTAAAAAAGGCACCATTTGCCCTAAAGAACTAGGACCATATTAATGCAAGCATCCATTGTCCTTTTATGGGCAGCCCAACATGGTATAAGTTCCTGTATAAAACATATATAGTTTTAGTTTCAAGGTACCTAAACTCAACTTCAATTCAATAACAAGCACAATTCAAAATGCAAATCGCAACTAAAGCACACATACAGTCAATTACAAGCAAAACCAGGTTAAAAAACAACAATTGCAATTCCACGAAAAGGAAATTCATATGACATCAAAATCCACGACAAAACTTGTGAAAATTCATAGCAGTAATACCAGTAATCATAGTAACCCTTCCCTAAAACCCAACAAACTTGAAACAAAATACATAAGCATAACATAACCGAAAGAAAACGATTAGTCCACCAAAAAAAAAAAGGTTTGTTCAACGGTAAGATTTCTGGAATCTAGCTCTGGCGCCACGTCCACCAAACTTCTTAGTCTCGCACCTTCTTGGATCAGCAACCAGCAAAGTTCTATCATACCTCACCAAAATGTCCTTTATCTCCTTCTTGCTCTGCTCATCCACATACTTCTGGTAAAACGCCACAAGTGCCTTCGCTATGCTCTGCCTGATCGCATAGATCTGAGACGTGTGTCCTCCACCCTTGACACGGATCCTCATGTCCACTCCAGCAAAACGTTGTCGTCCTAAGAGAAGGATTGGTTCATAGGCCTTGAATCGGAGGATTTCAGGCTCAACAAGCTCAATTGGGCAGCCGTTGATCTTGATCAGGCCGCGACCACGCTTGCAATGGGTGACTGCGACTGCTGTTTTCTTCCTTCCAAAGCACTGCACAGACTCTGTTGGCGCCGCCATGGTTGGTTGGCTAGGGTTTTCTTCTCGGGGTTTGGTTGCAGCCAAGCGCTTAAAAACTCACAAAGTGAAATGGGGGAGTGTGGGCAGACAAAAAACGCAGGAATATAAGGGGAGGAGTTTTAGGGTTTTTGAGTTGATGACATGGAGGATGGGAATAGGTTTCTGCTGTGATTGCACGGTTCTGATGGGTTTTATGACAATAGGGTTGGAGGGTGGCCCATTAATTGCCCACGAAATTCCAGACAAGCAAAGTTTATTTGGGCCTTAAGGTGGCTGAAATATCCGCGAGCTTTCGCTCAAGCAATTTGTAGACTTTTCCCCTGGCTGCTCGTCCAAGAATCGTTACCAACACTGCCCATTTAGATCAGCGAGGTATGATCCTCTTTGGGCCACAAGAGATTTCACTGATATTCTGTCAAGAGACCGTACGGATTCAGTGTTAAATATTCACAGATTGATCTGGCCAGAGGTGGGAAAAAAATCCAAAAAATCAATTTAATGAGAAAACTAAAAAAATTAACTGAAAAAATCGTGAAAAAAATAATTGAATTAATTAAAATATTTTGGTTTAGTTTAGTTTTTGGTATTGACGGGTCTAAACTGAACTCGAACTAAACCAAACTGATTTAATTTTTTAAAGAAAAAAACAAATTGTGGCCACCACCTCCCTCCCATTAGCCAACAACCCTAGCAGATCATTTATCATTTTTTTCCCTTTCATATAGCCGCCCCTCCCCTCCCATTAACTCTTTGAATGCTTTCATTATTTGAAGGGTCCTTTTCATTCACAACTTCCATGCTCTCTCTATCTCTCAACGTAAAGGAAAAGTAACCAATTACAGGTAAAACTTTAATATTTCCTTTCAACATTTGAGTAAAATTTGTCTTTTCTCTTCCAATCTTTCATGCCTTTCTGTCTCTTATCTCTCAAAGTTGTCATGTCAAAGGTGAATTGCTGGTGATTCTTCCATTGATTTACTTGATTCTCCTTCTTGGGTCACGGCATAAAAAGATCCCACCTCGATTGCCTGAGAGGGATTATTTCAGGTTAAAAGCTGAAGAGTATCCAGAAAAATCAAAGCAGTGATTGCTAAAAACTGATACTGTTTTTTTGCAATTATTTTTTCCTTTGCAAGAAGCTGTAACAATGAGGACAACGTTGTTGATTCTTAAAGGATGGCATCTTGGCATTGCATTTCAGTTTGAATCGGTTTGGAAGGGGAAAAAACAAAACTGAAATTAATCGGCTTGGTTATTTATTTTGATCCAAAACCGGACCAGACTGAAAATATTCAGCCTTAGATCTAGTAGAGTATATCCTCACCAGCTGCAACTTGCACTTCTCCTATGCCATTACTGTGGGAAAGAACACCCAACGTTCCACGGAGATGTACAATCCGCTACATGGCAAGATACCTCAATAGGAATAAATAAAACATAATCCCAATTCTAATTTAATAATAAAAATAGTAGTATAAAAAAATTTTAAAAAAAAGCAGAGAGGCGTCTGTATTATATTTGTCATACCCGTGCCATCTCGTGGTGTCTCCTTGGTGTTAGTTGGGTGGCGTTGCATAAAACATGGTTAAACGATTATGTTCGTCCGAGCAGGTGGTGCCACGGTGGTCAACGATAGCCGAAGGCAGTGAGATTGAGAGAGAGAACTTTTTTTGGAGGGTTTTGTTAGTGTTTGCATATGTTCCACCAAGTCATCCTTTAAAACCCGGGCAAAAAGGAGCAGCTCTAGGGCCACTTCCTTGCTAGTTGATCCCCTTAGCGAAGAGAAAGATACGAAGCGTAGAAAGGAAATGTACGATGAACTGGAAGTACCTCGTCAACAGAGACGGCAATGAGGCAGGTTTGGGACGGATTATATTTCCCTTGTCCCTGCTTAATATTAATCGAGTTCAGGATGGGAAGGAAATTTATTTGGAGATTCCTCGTTAATGTGTGTGTGTGAGTGTGTGTATTTTTGAAAATTTCACGAGATAGGAGGTATGTGCCTCTTCTCCATCCTCAATTGTTTCAAGACAAAAATATCCCTCGTAGAGTCAGAATTTGTTAGATATATGGGGTAATTTTACCATCCCACTCGTAGACAGAACATCGTTGTCAACCTCCGAAGTTTGATATAAAATCAATCAACAGAACATCGTTGGGCAAAATCTTGCCAGGAAAGCTTTAAGGAGTATGAGAAACCCGTACATGATAACCACACCATATCACTTCAACGCTACAATTTGATCCTAAACCTTTATAATTATGTAAACAAGTTATTTTAAAAAAATTATCCTATTAGGTTTTTGACCTTTAGCCTTCGAAGAACTACATGGGTATTAAATATAATTTAAGTTCAATTTAAAAAATAGACAATCACATCATTTTTTATTTAAATTGAAAATAGAATATTAAAATTATAAAACTGCACATTACAAACATGATACAATGATTTTTTTATCAAGAAACATAATAAAAGGATAGCATGTGAAAATGATAAAAATAACAGAGGCATTTACCTTCAGCTGACTAGAGGACGAGTTTGCTCTTCAAAAAATCACAACACACAGAAAGAGTAAATAATGGTTTTACATGAAGGGTCAAGAGGAAGTTTCTAGAAATATAGGGCACAAATTTGCAAAGATCGAGAGTAAATTTGAATCACTAAAGCTCTGTTTTAAATTTTCAAAAAAGCATTTTTGAACAAATTATTTTTTTATTAATTTCAAATTAATATATTTTTAATGTTTTCAAATTATTTTGATTTATTAATATCAAAAATAATTTTTAAAAAATAAAAAAATATTACTAACATATATTTTAACATGAAAAACTATTTAAAAATACCAGCAACCATACTTCCAAGCTCTAAAACTGATTCAACTTCTCCCAGTCCGCCACCGAACATGCAGTTCACATTGAAAGTCACCTTGAGCGAACCAAGCCCTTCAAAGAAGGATTCTAGACGTGGATTTTTTTCCACTATTTCTTTTGTGAGGTAAATAACTCAAGCAAAAACTATTATTGTCCACAAACCGATGAATCTCTCGCTAATGCCAAGGCGAAAATACACACGCATCACAATCCATGAACACAATAACGTTGGGAGGGGGCCATGTTTCCATCAACATTCTCAACAGAACTAATTTTGGAAACTCAGTGCATTTGCAACATAACTCTGGCAACAGGGATGATTAGGATTTTAGGAGCCATCCTATTTACCGACCTATGAGGACACTTGAATGGCTAGAAATAAATGAGAACAGCTACCACTTTCTGTACAAAAATATCTAGTTAGATATGAAGAATCAGACCAGCCATCTACAGCCGCGAGTTATGTTGGTGAGGGTTGGTGAGTGCGTTTTCAAAGTAATTGCGAATCTCAGGTATTATGCGCTGGATTAATTGAGAGTGCCTGCAAATTTCAGCTCACGAAATAATGTCAAGAACCGGTTAAAGAGTTTGAAACCAACCCTGTCTTTTTAAAAATAAAAAATAAAAATACAATACCCCATACGAACAAGTGTTTTGACTCTAGAAAATCTATTACACAGTTCCAATCAAATGAGCGAGTAGAGAGATCCATTTACATAAAAAGCATGCAATATTGTTTCCAATGATAGACACAAGAATTTAATTTTTGTAAATTTTCTTTCCACCAGTAGAAATATTTTCCCCCTTGATTTTAGGTTATGGCGTCTTGTGATCTCAGATCAGAACTCTTTTTCCTATCTTTTTCCAGTGGAATTAGAAGCATAGATTTATATTTTTCAGTTCATTGCCAGATGGTCTTTTTGCGAGAACAAGTACACAGGTTAAGGCAACGAACCTGGGCTTATCACTCAATTTATCAAACTGCTCCAAAATGAACAAAATGCATCTGTGCCTCAATGAAATAGCATGGAAAGCTTCTGAAAGTTCATACATGCTTCCAATGTTTTCCAATGTTATATCCTTGAGCAAATATAGAATGTTTATCAGACATCAGCTTTCTACTGAAAGCAGTACAAGATTGCACAAAAAAAACCTTCATAGCTCACCTGTGCTATGGTATACTCGCACAGTCGCTTAAGCCCCTCCAAGAGATACTGATCAGCAGCCCTGAGGAGATCCTGTGCAATAATTAATGTAACATCTACTGAACCTGTGTAAATGAATCTGTGGAAAACAGAAACAAGTTAAATAACTGTTCACTACAAGAGTATCTTTCATAAAACTGAACTTTACATCTCAACAAACCTCATCATCAACTCGAAAACATCCCATCTTATATTTGGAATTTCAATGTCCCTTGCATCCTTTTCCTGTAAGACAGGGGAATTAATCAAGATGGACATGAATTTCATTGGAGTCATCTTGGTTGCCTGATTGCATATTACCTAAACTCAAGTTGCCTATCCTATCCATGCTATGCAACAAAACATAATACATTGCTACTTATCCCATTGAGTTCGGCATTCACACAATAAGGGGGGCGAACACGAAGTAAAGCTTTGAAAATAATGAAAGCAGAAACCAATGATTTATATTAGTTAAATGAGTTTAGATTGCAAATGAAGACTGGGTGACAAAATAAAGTTGGAAAACAAAAGTCTCTAGCGACCTCCACCAGGAGGTGCATGAAGAACAGTGGGTAAAACATGACACATGACAACAATGACAAGATCTTACCCGATAACCACCATCGAACATTGCCCGAAATGCATCTGACGAAGCAAGCAGGCAAATTCTGTGGGCAAAGAATCGTCTACCTGCAATACAATTAAGTTAATATTATAACCCGACAGGGCCAGCAAAAAATGTGCCTTGCACTAAAACAAAAATCACAAGTATCCTAGACAAGTACCACAGCAGTATCCAGAACTTAAAATTTACTACCTTCAACTAGAAAGGTAACGTCAGACAATGTAGGATTGTTTACATACTGCTCCCCTAAATATACCTGCAATCAGAATTAATTGTTATTGCACAAACCAAATTCGAATAACAGACAGAAATTTGGAAGGATAGATTATCTTCATGTTTTGAAACAAAGAACAAGTGATAAAACAGCATCAAACAGAAATGCATGATCAAAAATCGAACCTGCAGTGAACATGCTCAAAAAGTCACTTATAACTGTTTATACAATAAAACAAAATGCATGAGAAAAAACAAACAAACAAACAGTTCAGAGAGGAAACACACCTGCGGTGTTGGAGAAGGAGGAGCTGCATCCACAGGAGAAAGGGTTGTTGCTTTGTTGGCCAGCCTGTAAAGAGCTATGGCTCCATCAAGTTGTTGCTTAAGGCTTGAAGAGCCAAGAAGCCCAAGAAGTAAATCCAATCCTGCACTCAAATATAAAAAAAATAAGATTTTTCTTCTGTGTAAAATTTCAAATCACACAATTAATAAGAATAGAACGTGCCACAATTATCAATGAATATTGCTCTCTGGTCATCTGGAGAACAAAGATGTGCAAGAGCTAGAGCAACACGCCGTTGGACAGCCTTCTCCGCTACACGCATTAGATATAATAAGTGGTTTAAAACCTACATATGAAAATTACACGATTACAATTTTAAGGCTTGGATATAAAGTTATGGAGAAAAATAAAACTGCTACACTTTCCACAACTAGATAACTGGCAAATTTTAGGAAAAAAGGAAGAGAACAAGGGAAAGGGAAAGAAAGTAAATAGCCAAAAAATATAAAAACCCACTCTTCCATGAATCTTCTCCTCCAATCTTTTCAAAGTCTTGGCTACGCAATCTTTTGTCGCCTGGAAACATGTTATTGATTTTATATAGATCATTGTAAATCAGGTTAAAACACAATAAGAAGGCCAATATCTAGATTCCAACATGGAAATATCCAAGCTACCATTTGCTTAGAGCAATACAGCATCAGCAGGATAAGCATTTATATGAGCCTAGATACAACAACTACTGTTCAACTATAAAGGAAGAAAGTTGCATACTTGAACAATAAACTCTCCATCCTGCAGCTTCTGAACTCCTCCCACACTGATAAAATCAGAGACATTGTCCTGTTGGAGAAATAAAACACCACAAGATTGTACAATATAAGAAAACTAGTTTAATAATTTTTATATTAAAATGGAACAAAGAATATACTTTCGGTCAAGCTCCTAAGAATTCAGAAATTATTCCACTACCTCATTATCTGCAAGACCATACAGAGCAAAGGCAGCATTATGTTGAAGAGATCCATTCTTTGAATCCAGAAGCTTCAGTAATGGCACCAAACCACCGTTGTGGGCTATACCAGCTT